GGTTACTGGCTCATCTTTCTTGGTGCGATATCCCAGTTCCAATTTAAGACATTGGAAAGGCACAGGTCTCTCAGAGTTCTCAGTTTATTAACAATAAATTCTAGCTACAAACCTAGAAGGTAAACATGGTTATCTTATCTTTATTTTAAGATCTGAAGCCAGGCTAAGGAGGTGGGAATCAGCTCCTTCTGTGTCCTTTGGCAAGTTAATCTTTTTTATTTCGGTTGCATCTGTAAAGTAAGAATAATGTCAGCTTCCTTGCCACTTCCTTGTATGGTGAACATTAAATGGAATAATCCTTACAAAGTAGTATTGGCACATGATACATACCTGTAGATATATTGGTGTGTGAAATAGCTTATGTTTATGTGACAAGAAAGATCTCTGTTGTAGAGTAGTATCAGGAGCGTGGTTTTTTGATTTTTCATTTATTTGGTGTTTTTTAGTTTGTTTCTTTGTTTGTTTTTGCAGAACCAGGGATTGAACTCAGGCCCTTGTGCTTGCCAGGGAAGGGCTTGTTCCACTGAGCCATCCCCGTGGCCCCTAGGGGTTTTTTGAGACAAGGCCCCACTGTATAGTTCAGACGGGCTTAAACTCACTGTGCAGCCCAAGCTGGCCTCGAACGCAAGGTAATCCTGCCTTGGCCTCCCAAGTGCTGGGATTGCAGGCAAGTACCACCAGGCCCAGTAGAAATTCAGTTTTTGGGCACTTTTAAAAAGCTGTATGTTTTGGCTAAATTGCTCTTTGTGGATATCAGTAGTCTTCTATTCATTGTTTTAAACTTTTATTGGGAATAATTTTAAATTTACAGAGTAGACAGATAATTAATATAAAGGTGATATGAAAAGCATAGGCAACAAAATGGGTGTAAGATTTGAACAGCCGAAGAAGATGAGCAAATGGCCACTAAACATTCCTATTCATTAGGAGAACACAAATTAGACTCACAGTCAGTGAGATGCTGTTTCACATGTATTAGGACAAATTAGTGTCCTTTATACACGTATTGGTAGGAATGTAAAATAACAGCTATTTTGAAACACAAGATGGTAATTCCTCAAAAAAATTGAACATAAGATTACTGTTGAGTCAGCAGTTCTACTTCTAGATAAGTACTTGGAAGAATTGAAAGTAGGATCCCAGATACTTCAACATCTCTTGTCGTAGCATCATTCTTCACAATAGGTAACATGCAGAGCAACCCAGATATCTATCAAGAAATGAATGGATAAGCAAAGTATGATATATACATACATTGGAATTTTCTTCAGCCTTGTGGGATAATGGTTATGCATTACCATACCCAGCAGGGTTTTTTTGTTTGTTTGTTTGTTTTAGGGAAAGTTCTACAGGGTATTCAGGGTCTCACTACTAGGTCACACTCATAGTAATCCACGTGTTTACAGCCTCTCACAAGCTGAGATTACAGGCCTGCGCCACCATGTCCAATCTCAATTGCCATCCCAGTGCACCCCACGGGCGGGTCCAGCATGGCAGGCCCGGGAATCAGACCCCAGCCTCTGCTATAATTTTTGTAAGTTTCAGTCAAAAACGAATAAAATTCTGACATATTATAATCTTTAAGACATTAGATAGGCCAAGTGTAAAAGAACAAGCTGTTGTCTTATTCCACACGTATGAGCTACCTATAATAGTCTACTATAGGAAAATAGAATTATGAATGTAATTGGGTGAATGTGGGGAGTTGGTATTTTAATGGATACAGAATTTCAGTTTGAAATAGTGAAAAGTTTTAGAACTAGATTGTTTAGTGATAGTTGCAAAAGAATATGAATATATTCTATGCCACTAAACTATACTCTTAAAAATGGTTGAATAACAAATTTCATATTATGTATATTTTGTATTATTTTTTAAAATATTTCAACAAATATGAGTATAGAAGAAAGAACATCTGTATCCCTAAACCTAGTTTACCCATTACCCCTTTTGTTCTGTCATTTGAGAATGTGTTCTTGTGTGTGTTCTATATACACACATACATGTACATTTGGGTACATGTTTTTCCTGAACATCTGAAAATGTATTAATGTGCATCATGTCCTATTTACCTATGATTCGGGCAATTTTCTTAGGAAAAGATATATTCTATTAACTATGTAATTTACTATTTTTGTACAATACCTTAGTCTGCCATTTTAATTCCAGATTTGTCAGTAAAGATAATCTGTAGTAAGTAGGATATTATATTTAGTTGTCATGATTGTATCTCTTTAGCCTTCCTTTGTCTTTTATGATGTTGATAGTTGATACTTTTTTTAGGACTATAGACCACACATACACACAGACAACTCCATCTCTTTGATTTGGAGATAGGGTCTCCTTATGTTACCCAGCCTGGACTAGCCAGGACTTTTTTGAAGACAGGGTCTCTCTGTTTAGTTCAGTCTGGCCTTGGAGTCATTATGTACCCCAGGCTGGCTGTGAGCTCAAGGTGGTCCTTCTGCCTCAGCCTTCTTTTTTTTTTGCGGAACTGGGAATTGAACTCCGGCCCTTGCACTTGCCAGGGAAGCGCTTATTCCACTGAGCCATCTCCCCAGCCCCTGCCTCAGCCTTCAGTTATTATGTTTACAGATTGTGTCATCACACCTCTGCATGGACTCTCAACTTTGATCCTCCTGACTCAACCTCTTAGAAGTTAGGATTATAAACTCACTCCCAACCCCTTTAAAATCCATATATAGTAGCATAGCTGTAATCCCATCACTACATGGAAGGCTGAGGCAGGAGTATCGCTAGCTGAGGTCATTATGACTGAAAAAATAAGCTTCCTCATTTTTCTGTTTGTGTGGGGTTTATTAATGACTGGATGGATGATTATGGATTCTGAACCAGAAAACTACATAGGAGATTCTGTCCTCAGAGTACCAATTGATGACTCAGTACATTTTATTTTTTTTTATTTTTTTTTTTTTTTCATTTTATTTTTTCTGTATTTTTTTCTTTTTGCAGTACTAAAGATTACACTTGGGACCTTGTACATGCCAGTCAGGCACTTACGCCACTGAACCATCTCCCCAGCCGAGTACATTTTAAGTTAAGCATGCAGTGAATAGAATCAGCTAATGCTATAAGAATTTCAGAGAACCATGACAAAAACATTGGAATATCAAGGGCAACATCTGCTTATTTGAAGAAAAAAAAAAAAAAAAGATAAACATTGTATTTCTAAAATTTTAGAAGGTTTCCCTCAGTCTTTAGCGGGTGGTCTTTTTGAGGCAGGGGCTCACTATATAGTTCAGGCTGGCCTTGAACTCACTTTGTAGTCCAGGCTGACCTCCATCTTGAAGCAATCCTCCTGCCTCACTCTTCCCAGTGCTGTGATTGCAAGTGTTGGCCACCATACCTGGTCTTCCTTTCATCTTAAAATTTATTTTATCTATTTACTTTTTTTTTTTTTTTTTCCCGGAACCAGGGATTGAACTCAGGCCCTTGTGCTTGCCAGGGAAGCACTTATTCTACTGAGCCATCTCTCCAGCCCCTTATCTATTTACTTTTGTTGTTGTTGTTGTTGTTTTTGTTTGTCTGTTTTTTGGTGGAACTGGGGATTGAATGCAGGCCCTTGAACTTGCCAGACAAGTGCTTATTCTACTGAGCCATCTGCCTGGCCCCTATTTGCTTTTTAAAGAAAAATAAAATTAAAAACAAATCAACAGTGGTTGTTATATGGCATATTGTTGTCTTCAGAATAGTTGTTTGGATTACCAGTTATAGACATGCAAAATTGATCCCCCCAAAATTAAGTATTAACTGTTCCTTTCAATAAGCCAATAGAAATTAACAGTATAATTATCTTAGCTGTCTTGTGTGTATCTATATATTTTCCCTTCCTCCTTTTTCTTTCCCTCATCCTAGTTTTTCTTTTCTTTTGAGTAGTTTCTTTCCCTTTCACAATATTGTACCTTTCAAGTTTTACTTTTTCAGTTTCCTATAGTAGTTTACACATGTGAGTCTGCTCAATCTTAAAATTTAATTTACTAATGTCTCTGAGATTAACTAGGTCAGCTAGTAGTATGATTTATGCTCTCAGTTTTATTAAGCTCATTCATGTATTAAGTAAATAAAATTACTACTTTTTACTTCTCAGTTGAATGGAATCAGCTATATCTTTGAGATGTTCAAGTGTCTTTTTTTTTTTTTTAAATGGAACCAGGGATTGAACTCAGCCTTGTGCTTGCCAGGGGAGCGCTTATTCTACTGAGCCATCTTCCCGGCCCCCAAATTTTATTTTTTTTCTGTATTTTAGGGAAGGGTCTACAGGGTGTTCAGAGTCTTACTACTAGATCGGACTCATAGTGATCCACCTGTTTACAGCCTCCTAAGAGCTGGCATTACAGGCACACACCACCATGCCCAGTCTGAATTGCCATCTCAGCATGCCCCGGGGGCAGGGCCAACACGGCAGTCCAGGGAATTGAACCCCTGGCCCCTGCACCTGCTTGCAAGAGCTTTAATCCCCTGAGCTATTTGGCTGGCCCTTCAAGATTCAAGTGTCTTCTAATTAGTACATAAGGCCCCATAATGATTTGGAGCATTATAAGATAACACTGAATGTATATGAGAACAAATTATTATTCCCTTGTTTCATCACATTTTGAAGATACACTGACCATTCCTACTCTTGGCCTTTGCTCCTACTGAAAGTACTGCTCTTGCCAATATTTTTTTGTAAAATAGGTAGTTTTGGTAATGCTGAGATACCTGTCCTCAGTGCCATTTTTATATTCCAGATGATCTTACAAAGAGCATCCAAACATTGCATGCAGAAGTTACAGACTACTTTGCAGAATGTGATTAGGAGCAATTTTAATGTATCTCCCCCTCAAGTTAATGGGAAATACTAAGTTGATACAGTTGTGATATAGTCATTGATTAACAGAGTCAGATATATTTGAGACTGGAATTATTTGGAAAATGAGCCTTTCTTTCCATGTACTGACACAAATAATTTCTTGACCTTTTGTGTTTTGTTTTTGCAGTTTGAAAGAAACAGGTCTGAAAGAAAGTCTTATCCCCAGCTGGCTCTGAACATAGTGTTTGACAGATCTTCAAACATCAACTTCAACTTTGTCCGCCAACCTGTCTGACATATCGGGACCCATGCCAAGCAGGGCCAGAGTTTACACAGATGTTAATACGCACAGACCCCGAGAGTACTGGGATTATGAGTCACATGTGGTGGAATGGGGGTAATTGTTTCCATTTATTTCACTATACTTCTTCACAGGGCTGAATCTTGCCAGGTGTGTTGATTAATTTATGTTGGTAAAACCCCAGTTCTGCTTTTCCAAACCTTGAAGTTGAAGCCCAACTGGGTTTTCTTTTGAGCTATAGGTTTTGTACTACAGTGAGGAAGCAGACTATTGATTTGGCAAGTTAATGGTTTTGATGGATTTAACCTTTTTTTTTTAATTTCTGTGACTGATTTATTTCTTTTTCTCATTAACTTTATTGAAAATCAATATATAGCAAATTAAAAAGTGTAGACAAATATTGAAATGTGAAAGAAATAAGGTATAGACAGTGAATTTTAGAAAAATATTTCTTTCTTTTTTTTTTGGTGGAACCAGGGATTGAACTCAGGTTCTTGCGCATGCCAGGGAAGCGCTTATTCCACTGAGCTATCTCCCCGGCCCAGAAAAATATTTCTGAAATGAATATATAACATGAGATTAATAATAGATTGTACATTGTAAAAATTATTTACAAACTTAAATGAATATAACAATAAAAATTGTCTAAAATAAACATGAAAAAGAAAGAGTTACAGATCAGGATTTACCATTTAAAAATCATTCCAATCTCTGAAAATTTTCTCTTATCTATATGTTCTGCAGTGGAGCTGGTAACAAAAATTTAACCTATGAACCTGCCTCTCAAAACTAAAAACATTACAGATAAGTAAAAACTTGAGCAATTTTTAAAACAGAAAATTCTTACATAAAGTGTTTTTTAGATTGGAAATCATTTTCCCATGATACTGAAAGATGGAACAGTTTTCCAAAAAGCTGTCCTCTTTTTGATGAGAACAATTAGATCCTTGAGCTTTTGCCCTTACCATGAGGAATTCAGCCCAAATTCCATCTTGAACAGTTACAGTCTGCCTGAGCAGCTATGTTTGCCCTCCTGATTCTATGCAAACTCATTTGAATGTTTGTATTTCCTGTCCCAATGTGGTATGCATTTATTTGATCAGATCATACTTTTCTTGATCAGAGCATTTTGACATGGAAGTGCAAAATAAAATATGAAAACTCAAAGATAAAGCTTTTATACACCAAATTTTATATCTGAGTACTTACAATCTCTATAGCCGCTCCATAAATTGCCATAGAGTATGTTTTTCATCCAGGTTTAACCAGGACTGTCAGTATTTTGTCTTCACATAAACAGATACTGTGTTACCTTAAAGGTTTCATCAAGAACTAGTGGTACAATACCAATAAATGTTATCACTCTTGATAATCTAGCAATTCTTCTTAGTTGCAGACTTTGAACTGTAGGTAATACTTATGTTTAACTGTAGAAATCTCAATCACTGTCTTTACTTTGAATGCTTTACTCTTTGCTTAAATGGTACTAAACATCTCTTAACTTCTTTGACATGGTGCCATTTGCTTATTTGTGTTTGTTTTGTATGCCTTCAGCAGAAGAACTCAATAAAACTAAGAAGGTTTCTTGCCTTGTACCAGCTAGGATTATTACATTATACATTGTTCTTGTGCCTTTTGCATTCTCTTTTCATTAGTCTTCTTTTTCTTCTTGAATTTAAGCGTATGGCCTCATGCATGCTATCACTGAGTTATGTCCTGGCTCTATTCTTTTTAGCTCGTAGAGAACAGATAGTAATGGCTGATTTAGTACATGTTGGATTATCTCATAGTAAAAGGAATTTAGACGTTATTAAAAGAACAATGTTTGTTCATTCTCCAGGGCAAAGTCCTCGGAGTTGAAGACAAGGGAAAGTGTTGACATTTCCCTTATTCTTTATCTCTATGACCTTTGATATTTATTAGCATAGAATATAAATAAAGAAAGGGCTCTTGACTAGGGTTCATGATGTGTATTATGGGTGACAGACTACATTATGTGGATGATCCTTAGTAAAGCTTATATAGTATAAAGCAATTTATTTGAAAAGGGGCTGGGGAGATAGCTCAGCGGCAAAGGGCCTGCCTGGCAAGTACAAGGTCCTGAGTTCGATCCACAATACTGAAAAAAAAAAAGGTATTTCCAAAGTATAGCCAAAGTGAAGTGTTAATACAGTGTGTTTGGAGTTCCTACAACGTGCCAGCATTGGTCCAGGAAGAACAGGGCAGCAAGATATGTCTGTTATTTGAGACAAATGTTTATAACAAATTCTGGTACAATCTACTTGTGATTTGCCATTAAGGTTCTAAACAATTTGCAGTTTGAAGAAGTAAATGAAAGACAACTTTTTTTTCTATTTCTAGGATTTGGCGTGCACTTATAAGTGAAACAGTGAAAAATCATGTGCTATTGTAATCATTTTGATTTTGACTTTTTGTCCACAGAAATCAAGATGACTACCAACTGGTTCGAAAACTAGGCAGGGGTAAATATAGTGAAGTATTTGAAGCCATCAATATCACAAATAATGAAAAGGTGGTCGTTAAAATTCTCAAGGTGAGTGCAAGAGAGACAATTTCAGAGGTATTTGGAATATAGAATTTTTAAAAGCAATGCCTTTTTATAAATCTCATTTATAAAAAAGTTTCTGGAGTCTTTTAGGCGCTTCATTTTATTACATATGCTAAAGTAAAACAGAACAGATTGTGCCAATCAAGTGGTACATGCCTGTAATCCCAGCATTCAGGAGGCTGAAGCAGAATCCCTGCAATTTTTAGGCCCACATGGGCTACATAAGCAAGTTCAAGGCCTGCCTACACTACATGGCAAGACCCTTCCTCAAAAACGAAGCAAACAAAAAAGAATAGATTGTGCTTACCCAATAGGAACTAAAGCAAGAGGAATGATTTGACTCAAGTCATACAGCTACATTGTGATAAAGGAAGGGAGTAAAGGTATTCCTTGGATTACCTAATGTTTATGTACTGTATTTTTAATTATATTTTTTTTTCATGTTTGTATTTTCAGTAAATAAATAACTTTTCTTTGTAGGGATGAAGAGCCACAAATGGAGGCTTTAAGAGGCAAGCAGATGCCATTAGTGGAGCTAGTCTGCTATAATGGCTCATGCTTAGATGAGTGAGCAATGGGGCTTGAGGCAGATGGGAAACATAACTTTTGAGGAGGTAGCTATTTCTCAGTTTAAGCTGAGAATTGTCCTATTGCAGTACAAGTCAGTGTTCACACTGTGTTTTGCAATAGAGTATTTGTATGTGAGATTCCTGATTTTTCAGTATTGGCTCAAAATTTTTTAAAGATAATAAACAGGCCAGCTCTTGTTAATGGATGGCCAACATGCAGCTTATAATTAGGTGTTGTTCCATTGCATACTGTTTGTTATATACTAGGAACATACATTAAGAATATACAGGGGGGCTGGTGAGATGGCTCAGTGGTCTAAAGCACCTACCTAGAACAAGCTAAGCTAAAGCACAGAGACCGCGGTTCAATCCCCCAGCACCACACGCCAGCCAGCCCCGCCCCCTGGTGGGCTGAGCTGGCCCCACACACACACACATATAAATAAATAAAAAAAGAATATACAGAGGTTCTTACCACAGGAACTTTTCCACTGATTGTAAAGAGCAGAACTTTCCAATTTTTTTAACTTATAGCACTTTTTTATAGTATACCTTAGCCAAAAGAAATACATCTAAATAACTATTTTAAACTTCGTAGTTATTTTTAAAATTACATACTAAAAGAAAAACTAATTTTGTTTTATGTAGCGATAATTACTTTTGGAGAATGTATACCTATACATAGTCATATACCTGTACATTAATCACAATATAGCTTCTCAGATTTTGGAATTGTATGAACACCATCACTCATTTTCTAGTACATGTTTTGTTTTGCAAAGCATTTGCTTTTTGTCAGAACAACTACTGAAAACTCAGCTTCATAAAAATAGATTCTCACCTGGGCATGTTAGCACATGCCTATAATCCCAGGCAGGAGGTTGAGGCAGGAGGATTGCCAACAGTTTGAGGCTACTTTGGGTTACATAGTGAATTCAAGGCTGTCTTCAACTGCATAGCAAGGCCCTGTCTCAAAAATCAAAACAAAAATATATTCTCAGTCTGATGTTGATAGTACTTAATGTCTGGCAAATACCAAATATTGACAGGTGAATTTTCCTTAAAATTTTAAAACATCCCACAGTGCCATTGTGAATTTGCTAACATACCTCTTGCCATTTGAGAACCAAGGAGCTTAATATTTGCATCACATGTAGATAGAGAACTAAGCTGAAAGTCAGAATACTTGGATTTTAAGCCAAACTAAAAGCAGTTAACCATGCAAGTTCATTTGTGGAAATAAAATAATCTTTTACCTACTTTTTTCAGAACTGTTACAAGGAAACATTTGGAGACTAAAGTTGTATAATTGTAAGATGGTTTTCTATGGAAGGGTATATGATAGAATGAGATAGCATATTATTATTTTTTTTAATTGAAAAAGTGACATTTAATTTTATTTTTTTTTATTTTTATTTTTTTTCAAAGTTTTATTGATAAACATATAGCAATGAGACAGTTTCAAATCAAATCGAAAGTACAGTTTCAACAAATAATACACTGCATACATTCTTCTCAGTGGTTAATTGCTGTACAGATAGCATATTATTATTTATATCCATATGAAAGGCTCATATAGTGGGTCTGTAGTACAGAAGAGGTCAGAAGTTAGGGGGCCAGCCAGATAGTTCAGCAGACTAAAGAGTCTGCTTAGGCAGATGCAGGGACTGGGGTTCAATCCCTAGTGTGCTGTGTTGGCCCTACCCCTGGGGCATGCGGAGACAGCAAATGAGACTGGGCGTAGTGGTGCCTGTAATCCCAGCGCTTGGGAGGCTGAAAACAGGAGGATCACTACAAGTCCAATCTGTGTAGTGAGATCCTGTAGACCCTCTACTAAATACATTTTGAAAAGTTAGGGAAAGCTCCTCACACTGGTTTCAGGTAGAATGAGAGGAGGATTTAGTTGGTAGGCATAGAAAAGGGAAACATGTTCTAGGACATGCCAGCAGGAAAAGGAAGAAATAAGTGATTGAACAGGCATGTCCAACCTAGTCTACTTGCCTTTTTACTACTATAACAAATATAGAAAATAAAGGTTTTGTTAGTGAAGTACATTAACTAGAGCCAGATATAGCTGAGCGGCACAAGTGTCTGCCTGGCAAGCACCAGGTTTCAGTTCAATTCCTGGTGCCAATAATAATAATAACTGCACTTATGTGCATTAATTGTATATATTATATGCAGCTCAAGATAAGTCCTTTTTATTCATTGTTGCCCAAGCAGTAAATCTGAAAACCTGGACATACCTGAATTGTAGATGTCATGTTACCATACATGAGTGATAAACATGAGAAGAGAGATTAAAGATTAAATTGGTGAAGTCATAGACCTCTAATCTCTACATTTACTTCTGGTCTTAAATATTATAAGACTTTCATATCCTCTAGGTAGGTGAGAACTTACTGTTTGGGTTTTTTTCCTTCTTTTTTTAAGGGAAAGATTTTTTTCAGCTCAGTTTTCCTAACTGTACTGTATATTACAAGTATACAGTAAGCAATGTACATAATACAGGTGGAGTTTTCATAAACTATTTAAAATTTTTTATCACTTCCCTATTCATCTAGTAAGAGAAGTTACAGTGATCACATTAGAGTATAAATCTGTCATGAATCAGCTTTATAAATTTATAGATTAGAAGGATTCTATAAATGCGTTTTATATACCTTTTACCATAAGCCAGCTATTAGGAAGTAGCAGCTTAGTAGAAAATAGGAAGCAGGTGCTCAGGGAGATAGCTCAGTGGTATAAGCATCTGCCTGGCAAGCACAAGGTCCTAAGTTTGATCCCCAGTACCAAAAAAAAAAAGTGTGTTAGTCTCCAGAGGAAGAAAAGTTCACTTGGTCATAGGCTAGCAGATCAGAAAGATCTGAATACTTAAAGCAAGGAAAGAAAACTGACCACCTTGCTTTTCAGCCAGTGAGCAAAATTCTGACAGAAGCCTGGGTGACAAAACCATAGGTTAGCTGGATGTAGTAGAGTATACTGATAGTCCCAGTACTCTAGGAAGCTGAGGCAGGAGTATCCCAAGTTCAAGGCCCAACTTTGTCTCCCTGAAATGTCTGAGTTTTTTAAAAAAGGACTGAAGATGTACCTCATTGGTAGAGCACCTGCCTAGTAGTGTGAATCCTTAGTACCACCAAAAAAGAATTTTTAGCTGGTTTTTACTTTTTTCTTTTTAGTTAGGATCTTGTTGTATAGCTTAGGCTTGATTTGACTTTAATGTGTAACCCAGTCTAGCCTCAGACTCACAGTGGTCCTCCTGCTCCAACCCAGGTGCTTGGATTGCAGACATGCTCCACCACTCTCAGCTGGTTTTTACTTTTTTGATGTGACAACTAGAATGCTTAAAATTATATGCATGTCTTGCATTAGAATTCTGTTGGGCCAACACAGGTACAGATGGAAGAAGAGCCTCAGAAAAACCCAAATGATTTGTATCCCAAAACAGAAGCAGAAAAGATGAGTAAAGACAAAAGAACTTAGAAGTTATACTGTATAGACTGTTCATAACAGTTTGTATTGAAATTTGTTTGATTTTGGTTGGTTGGTTGGCTGGCTGGCTGGCTGGTGGTTTGGCTTTTGTTATTTTGAGACAGCCTTGCTCTCTAATATAAACTAGCCTCAAATTTGTGAGAATTATCCTGCATCAGCCTTCAAGTGCTAGTATTGCTGGGAATTTGTGCATGTTCTACCATGCCCAGTTTTGCATAGCAGTTTTTTAAAATGAAAGGTTGTGTTGATTCATTTTGTTTTGTTTTGTTTTTGTGATACTGGGGATTGAACTCAGGACCTTACCCTTGCCAGGCAAGCACTTATTCTACTGAGCTATCTCCCCAGCCTGAAAGGATTTGTTTATAAGCCTGTTAGTAATAATGCAGATAGCTCTTAATAAGTATTATGTCCCAGCAATGTTTTTTGGTCTCTTCAGGTATCTTACTTGATTCTGGCTGTGTGTTTATAATAAAGGCCTAGAGAAGTTATATATAATGGGCACAGAGCAACTAGGTTGAAGGTAGGATTTATTTGAGGAAGTCTTAGCTGAAGGTCAACACTTTACCCATAAGTTATACTAAACAAAGATAATTTGTTTGTCCTTTCTGTTGACCTTGATATCCTTCACCTATAGCATTTTTAAACATATAAATGTTTTATTGTTTTTGTTTTATTTGATACAGGGTCTTGCTGTGCAGTTCAGACTCGTAGTGGAGCTAGAGAGATAGCTCAGTGGCATAAAGGTTTGCATCACAAACTCAAGGTCCTGAGTTCAGTCCCCAGTACCAAAAAAAAAGGAGGAGCAGACTTATAGTGATCCTCCTGTCTCAGCCTCCCCAGGGTTGGGATTGTAGGCGTGCGCCACTATGCCCAGTTTCCACGGCAGGCAGGTACTGCATGCAGTACCAGATACCAAACTCAAGTCCTTGTGCTTGCCAGACAGGCACTTAGACTGCTGAGCTATCTCCCCAGCCCGTCTATAACATTATTAACTTAAGAAGAAAAGGATTCATGTTTCATTGTATTTTTTTACAAATTGTGGAGTTTTTTTTTTAATGATATATCTTATTATTGTTAACAAGTTAAATTGCTAGTAGATAGTTTTAAAGCACAGCATGTAATACTATTGAGTGAGATTAAATGTTAATTCTGCAGAGCTGTGTTCTTTGGAATGGAAATCTTTTTTCTTTAACTTTTGTATCTGTAGAGTTCTCAGCATAATACCAGAAGAAAGGGAATCAGAGAGGTGTCTGACACCTTCATCTATTACACTACCTGTTGGGATGTCCTGAAATTGCTTTTCACTAATGCATTTTTATCCTTTCAGCCAGTAAAAAAGAAGAAAATTAAGCGTGAAATAAAGATTTTGGAGAATTTGAGAGGAGGACCCAATATCATCACGTTGGCAGACATTGTAAAAGATCCTGTGGTGAGTATCACAGGCATTAGCAAGGCCCACCAGGCCTGAGGTGGTGATGGACCTAGAGCACAACTGGCCTTTTGCTTTCCCTCCCACCCTCAGCATTAAGTTCTGCTTTATAAGTGCTTAATCCAGTATACCATTTTAACTAGGTTAGGTCTTTCTTTCAAAGAGACCCACAGACTATTTCTTATTCTTCTAGGCTAAGAGACTGATAGCACTGGAAACTGAAATGTCTTAATCCATTTTGCAAACTCAGGTCCGATGCTGATGGGCGATGGGCGCATTGTCGGGCTGCCTAGAGCCTGGTGAGACTTCAGCTCCATGTCTTCTGTTTGAAATCCATCCTTAAAATGACCTAAGTGGTGGTGATCAGAGTGGGGAGGGCTTCTAGCAATAGAGGGTTTCTTACTACTGAGGCAAGACCTGCCAAATTCACCACGCAGCATCTTCAAACGTGTCTGCTAAACTTGTCAGTTCCATTACTAATGTGTGTGTTTGTTTTCTTTCCCCTAGTCACGAACCCCCGCCTTGGTTTTTGAACATGTAAACAACACAGACTTCAAGGTATACTATTAGTCAAATATTTAAAACTATGGAGTTTTTAGATCACCTAGAGAACCATTTATGGATATTATAAGAGAAGAATTTGTCACTTCTTAAAAGAACTTTTCATCCTGACATTGCTGAATCTTAAGATAGAAAAGTTCCTGTACAAGTTGTACTCATTTTCCACATAGTGCTATTTTGTCCATTTACTTGGTTACTGTTTTTTTTAATGACTACATTTATCTTTCATGACATGTCCACTATAATAAGGGCCACAGTACATGTTCACCCAGGGACTGGCTGTATAGCAATTTTTTTTAAGACACAAGGATATTCAAGAAGGAACATATTGTGTTTGTAGTAGTAGAAACTGCTAATTTCTTAGAATTGCTCAGAGCAATGGTTTTGTATACCCCATTGCCACCACCATTGAAACTGAGTATTGAACCTAGGAGTCCATTCATGCTATTCAGGCACTCCTGTCACTGAACTACCATGCAGCCCCTTATACTGTAGGTCATAAAAAGTCAGAAATGAGAAAGGATGATGTCAGATTTCTGCTCTAGCACATATTTGGTAGCCTACTTAATCTCAAACACTTGTTAATTTCAGTGTGACAAGAATATGGGCACTTTCTTGGAGTATAGGTTATAAAGGTATTTGACTTCCCTTTGCAGCAGTTTGAAGAATGTTATATATCAGTAAATGAAAGAACTCTTGTTGAGAAAGGGGTGAAGCAGGAAGATCACTGTGAGTTTGAGGCCAGCAGATCCTGTTCACCCCCCCCCAAAAAAAAAAAAAAGACAGGAAAGAAAGAAAAGGGAAATTGTTTTAAAATTAGAATGACATCTTCAAAAACAAAGGGGGAAAAAGAAAAAAGGGAGGGTAGGAATGTAGCTCAGTGGCTGAAGCACCTGTTTGGCAAGTGCAAGGTCCAGAGTTTTGATCTCCGGTACTGCCAAAAAAAAATCAGAGGATACCACTAAGTGTTTAAAGATATGTAGAAGTAAAAATTCTGTTGCCCGTTAAAAATTGGAGAGGTTACATTATAGTTCTTCAGAGTTTACTTTCAGTTTAGTGCAAGAATACTTCTGTTAAAGTGGCTCGACAGAGTTGGCCTCATGCCATCTACATACCTACTGATGATCAGCAGGGCTATGGAAAGTGGCTTAGTTCCCCATGTAAGGAGGTTGTATTTTTGCCAGAGCATCTTATAAGACGGTCTGAAAGTAAATGAAAAAGCAAAGTAGGGGGCTGGTGAGATGGCTTAGTGGTCTAAAGCACCTACTTAGAACAAGTTTAGCAAAGCACAGGGACTGCGGTTCAATCCCCCAGCACCACATGCCAGCCAGCCCCACCCCTGGTGAGCTGAGCTGGCCCCCCCACACACACACACGTAAATAAAATTTTTTTAAAAAAGCAAAGTAAATTATAAATGTGTATTTTCTCTTAATAGTGAATTATGAATTCACTAATACAAGTTTTTTTGCACTTGTACATTCCTAGCTGAAAAACCTCTAGTATCTCTTTAAAACGAATATTACATTGGAGAAATAGAAGTGAACGTATGAGTCTTGAAACAGTGGCAGACAAGCCAAGTCTTAGTTTGAATTACTGTAAAAATGAGAAATTGCCTCCCCATTAGCTTTATTTCATAGCTGAAGTGTTGCGTTTGTTTTTACAGCAATTGTACCAGACGTTAACAGACTATGATATTCGATTTTACATGTATGAGATTCTGAAGGTAAGAAACTGTGGATATTAAGTAGCTTTACATTAACCTTAGCACAGGCTGGATGTGGAAGCACATGCCTGTAATTCCAGCACTTGGGAGGCTGAGGCAGGAGGATAACTGTGAGTCCAAGGCCAGCCTGGGCTGCAAAGTGAGCTCAAGGCCAATCTGAACTGTATAAGGAGACCCTGTCTCCAAAAGACCAATAAAATTAAATAAATAAATATAAATTAACCTTAGCAGGACCAGCAAGATAACTCAGCAGACTGTCTACTTAGGCAAGCATGGTGACTGGGGTTTAATCTCTGGCACTACATGCTGTGCCACCAGACACACTGGACTGGCCTTCAAGACTGGACATGGTGGTACACACGTGTAATCCCAGTGCTGGGGAGGCTGAAAATAGGATCACTACGAGTCTGAGCTAAGTAATGAGACCCTATACCAAATATATAAAAAATAAATTAATAAATTAACCTTAACTTTGTTAAATAGTCCAGCTAATGGTAGAAAACTCATGAACTAACTTTGTAAAGTTACATTGAAAGAAAGTGCCTGTACTTGTAAGTTTTTAGTAATAATAGTATTGAACCCCTGGGCTAATGTAAGAGTTACAGAATGGTGTTTAGCAGGAGTGCAGTTTTGAATGCTTTAAGGAGGGTTTAGAAAAGAGCTGAGACTATAAATCATATTGTCAAAACTTACTTAAAAATAGCTCTTGATCTATTGGCTTCTAATATACTTTATTTCACTTAACATTCACCAAGTAAAACTATAAAATTTAACTGAGCCTTCAAAGGGTCATTGTCCTAAGGATTGTGTAAATCTCTGCTTAGGGATTGCTGATTGAAAATGGACTTTTGATTTCTAAAATGGGATCAACAAATATATCTTGTTCCTACTAGTTACAAGATCAGCTTTAGACAGGTGAGAATTACTAAGGGTTGGCTAAGGTTTCTTCTTAAACAAGGGTTGGCATCAAGCCTATTGCTTAAGCCTTACAACTTACCCAAAAGAAATTGTACTAGTATAGATACTTCATCTTTCCAATTTGCTCATACAATCTTGTGCCAAGCAGAGTTTGAGAAAGTTATGGATATGTCTGCTTAGCTTTGCCAGCTATAGGAATCCAAGTTGCCCTTGAGAAGGACAAGAACTTGGCTAATGCCGTCACTTGACTCAAAGGCCAGGATTAACAAAGCCAACAGTTATGTCCCTGAGTTCACCTTAACGTGAGGTTACATACTTTTCAAATTGGATTGATTGATGACCTCCATCAGGGACAAATAGTACTTTAAGCTTCATGAGCCTAGAGCATCTTTGTCACTCTGTTCTTTCCTGTTAATAGCACAGAAGCAGCCATGGGTAGTATGCAAACCAATAGGCTGACCGTGGTCAGTGACACATTATTCACAAAAGACAGCAGACTAGCTTTAACCTGTGGCTGTAAGTTAAAATAGGCTCTAAAGATTGACTGTTTTTCAAGTATTTTGAGATGTTGTTTATAGAGATAATCTAACCTTGGATAAGAGGGAAAAATTAGAAATGGTCTAATTGGTATATACTTTGAACTTTTCTGAACGGAAAGAATTTTGAAATAACTGTAAAGAACAAAATTTGAGATTCAAAGACCTAAGTTGGCTTTGGGATCCTGAACAACTTCCTAAAAAATAGCTGTGGGAGTGATTGTCCTGATCTTGATTCCCAGGGTTGTGAGCCAGAAGGGCTACATATGTGGAGGGAAAAGTTGAGAATTTAAAGAAAAAAAAAAAATCATTGTTATACAGTTTAACTTACCTCTTTTTACCTTTTTCTCTCACAGGCCCTGGATTATTGTCATAGCATGGGAATTATGCACAGAGATGTAAAGCCCCATAATGTCATGATTGATCATGAGCACAGAAAGGTAGAGTCACAGACTGACAAGTTTTACTTCATGATGGAGTAAAACCCATCTTTAACCCTTTGTCCCTAGTGAATGAATTAAACCATTATTTATGTTCCTGAGAATGCATCAAGGATACATATCTGTATAATGGGTAAAACATTTGCGTAGACCGAGAAATGAATGCTTTAACTTACTGAATAAGTTTCCTTAGAAACTATTTTCTCATTTGCCTTCTTTTTCTTGCCTGTACAATGGATGCCATTAGGTTAAATGTAAGAATTAAAAGTCACAGTTGTGAAGTGTTAAGATGTTGCTTTGCTTAGCAAGTGTCATGAAGACTTTGACTTTTGCACATGCTTCTTCATGAGACATGTAATGGCCATATATTTGTAACATTTCAGTTTTTTAAGGTAACCAAGCAATGATGACTGTCCGTTGTATTGTTGGGGGATGTGATTTGTTGACTTAACTAGTGATGTTTTTAGACACATACTATGTAACTGACCCTATTGTAAAGACTGGGGGATAGAATATACAAACAAACAAAGGAGACCAAACAATTGTTTATCCATGAAGAAGTTATTTTTTGAATGGCTTGTTAGAATAGAAAGTTTAAAGTAGTATGGAAGACAAGAGAATAGGGAATGGCAGAGGGTGTTTCAGTTGTAAAATAAGAAGTGAAAAAGTGATATTTTTAAAGACTGCTAACAGCAGCCTGAGCCTGTAATATCAAGAAACACCTCACAGGCAGAGATAATACCAAATACAAGAGCCTTAAAGCAAGAATGTGTGCCTGTCTGAATAGAGGGAAGTCAGTTCAAATTCAGTTAGTACAAGTATATAAGCATGTATGAATTCTGTGACCCAAAAGATTTTATCTTCACCAGTAAGTCAGCAGTTAATTCTATATTAAGAGACCCCAGCCAGATGTCTTAAATTAGTGGGTTCTGGCTCTGTCTACCTAGAGATGGCGTTAGATCGTGGGACTGGTCCTCCTGTGTCTACCCCCAACCCCATTAGTTCTTTTTAGCTCTGCTTCTGACCTACTATAATTTGGGGTTTCAACTACCTACACCTTGTGTTCAGGTCACTTGCCAGAGTGGTTAGAACTCAAAACACAGTTACCAGATTATTTGAAAGGACATTGTAAAAGACACAGACGAAAAGATTACATAGAACAAGGCATGCGGGAAGGGCAGAGAGACCTCCACACTATTTCCACATGTGCCACTGTCTTGGATCCTGCACATGTTTGGCTATTGAAAAACTCCAAATTCTTTCCTTTTGGGTTTTTATGGAGACTTCCTTGTGTTAAGTGTGATTGAAGCACAGGCAACCATACAGCAGAATGATTTAACAAAGGCTCTAATCTAATGCTAATAGGCTAAATGGAGAAAACCTTTCTCTATTCAGATTCATTTAGACTTCTTTGTGTAGTATTGCTCTCAGATGTTAGGACAGGACCCCTTCTGATGTGGGGATCTTATGGTAATCTGCTCCAAACATACATAGTTTCTGTAACCCAGTTTAGGGAAGACAAATTCTATTTCATGGTCGTCTTTGGAGGAAAAAAAAAATGCATAAACTTGGAAAAAAAAAAAAAAGAGGACAGTGGGAGAAATTTTGCTTTCTGAGGCTTAAACTGCCTAGCATTGCAATTTTTCACCTTTATTGTTCTAAGCCTGCTTCAGGAACCAAGGCCAAAAAGTTACGTACTTTACAAAAGATACCATTTTTTAGACATTTAGATTTTTTGATTTTTTTTTTTTTTTTTTTTTTTTTTGTGGAACTGGGGATTGAACTCAGGCCCTGTGCTTGCCAGGCAAGCGCTTATTCTACTGAGCTATATCCCCAGCCCTTGACATTTAGAGAATAACGGGTGCCATGAAAATTATAAGCCAGGATTAAAAAGAAAGACAGGATATAAATACGTCATGTAAACTAGCATGTTGGAACAGCAGCAAGGATAGAGCTGGAATAGAATGAATGGAGAAGAGCAAGAAATGAGGTCAAAGAGGTTAAAAAAAGAATCATGTAAATCCTTACAGGTTGTTGGCCTACCTTTTCTCTAAAGCTTTTGCAGAGCTTGAGAAGAACAATTATCATTTTCTCACTATTTCACTTTATATTAAATCTAAAATTAAAAATAATGACAATACCAGTTTTTGGAAAGGATGTGATAAAGTTTTACATCTCATACATAGCTGATGAGAATGTAAAATTTTAGCATTTGGGGAAATGCTAAACTTTCATAGTTTGTCGATTTCATAAGACACTAAATACAAGTATACTGCATAATCTGTGTCATTTATCTAAAACTTGGGTCCATCCCCAAACCTATAAACATGATTGAACCTTTATCTTTAATAGCTCAAAATTGAGAAGAAATACTGCCAGGCATGATGGTGCATGCCCTTAGTCCCAGCACTTGGGAGGCTGAGTCAAGAGGATTGCTCCAAATTGAGGCCACCCTGGGACTAGGGTGAATGGTCATATCCATACCATGCATTTAACTGTTTGAGTATCACTCATAAGAACACTGTTACATGTAGCCACTTGGGTGATCTTCTGGTAAGTGAAAAAAGCAAGACTGTATCAAAAATTATATGCTAATCACACACATCTATAATCCCAACACTCGGGAGATTGAGGTAAGGAGGGTCACCACTAGTTCAAGGCCATTCTGTTGCGGACCACAAATTGTAAATTGACATAGTATGTCCTAGGATCTCCTTGCCCTGTTTGCCTCATGAGCTGGTTTTAGAATGCGGAAACCATCTTCCTCTTGGTCAGTGAGATTTGTATCCAGGTGTGGGAATGAATCTTGGCTTGTTTCCTTTATGATGTTAAACTTGGCCATTCTACCACTGTCTTTGTGCTGTTCCAGAAACACCTCACTCCCTCCCTTACACTGGCTTAGTAAAATGCTAGCTAGCTGGAAATTCACAGCCTTTTGCTCCTCAAGAGCAACTGGTAGTCTCAGATCCCTGCTGTGCCCCCCCTCTACTGTGTCGTTTTTTCTTTCCTTTCTTGCCATACACAGTAAACCAGGCAGGTTGAAAGCCACTGCAGGAATGTCCAATAACTGGCACCATATGAAGGGTCACTGATAAGTCTGAAATACAGAACAAACCTTATCTCAGAAAAACAAAGTGATGCGTAATGATCTTGTGTATATGACATTTTCCTCTTGATAAAGACATATTGATCGAGAACAGGCTACTAAGAGTAGGAATAGCATATGGAGCACTCGTGATGAAAGAATTCTATATCCAGTGATGGAATAAAATTGCACCGCACATTCATAAAACTAGTAAAACCTGAGTAAGTTCTGTATATGAATTGTTCCATCGTCAATTTCCTTGGTTTCTTGTACTATAGGGATGGTAAATGTTGCTACTAAGGGAAACTGAGAGTGCACAGAACTTCTACTATTTTTGCAACTTACAGTGACTCTATAATTGTTTTAAAACAAGCAGCTTTTTAAAGAATTGTTCTGGCTGCTGTCTGGGGAATAGAGGCAGGAGTAACATTAATTAGACCAGTCAGGACAAAAGCCTATTCCAGTAAATCCAAAGAAATGATAGCAAGAGATACTGCAGATGTTGAGGATGGCCAGACTATAGCAGAGGCAAAACCAAAAAACGTAACAAAGAATATAGTAGAGCTAACAGGATTTGTTGACAGATAAAATATGGATTTGTTGACAGATAAATTGTGAGGGAAATAAACCCGTCAGTCCTGTTCTTACCTGCGTTAAATGGCAGGATAATTGAGATCACCTTTACCCAGGGAGAGAGTTGGGTTTGCTAGAAATTGGAGGTTGAAAGTGCCTGCCCGGCAAGCACAAGATCCTAAGTTCAATCCCCAGTACCAAAAACAAAAAGAAATTGGAGGTTGAGTTTTGAGTGTCCGCAGTTTATGAACATTGGAACTGTACAAGACTCACTTTTGTCAGATTTTGAACAAATTCAATTTATGAATGTTCTCCCCAGAGTGGAACTTACTTGTAAGTAGAAGGTGAACTAGGGAAGGGGAAGCAAATAAGGGAAAAGAAAGAAAAACAGGAAAAGAAGATAAAAATGGAAATAATGCTTTTGTAAATAGGGGAAGATGAGTTGAAGGTAGGATAAAAGAAGGAGGGAAAAAAAGTAACATGTCCAGTCGCAATTCTGTATCACAATTCTGTATCTTATGATCATTACATATACCCAAAATGCACCAATAAACTTAAATTTACAAAGAAAGATAAAGAGCTGGGAAGACAGCTCAGTAGCATAAGCACCTGCCTAGCTGAGTTCAGTTCCTGGTACCAATAATGAAAATAATGAGGAGGAGAGAAGGGGAGGGTGAAAACAAATATATAATAAGGAGCTATAGGTTCTCTTAAAGAAGAGTTCAGAAGACTGAAAATGGTTCATTTGTTCTACTTGCATGATTAGAAAGATTTCCTTGAGCTAAATTCAGTATCCCCCAAAATAAGAAGCAGTAGATAGCAGAACACTGCATAGCAGGGATGTTTTAGTGAAATGAATAGTTTAAGAAATTCATAAAAACATGCAGTGAGAGTCTCTTTCAGGAAATAGATTGTGGAGAAAGCTGTCTGTTAAGCTGAGAAATTTTATTTTTATCTTAAAAGCTATAGATAACCAGTAAATGGCTGCTTGCTTGCCTCTCTCTCTCTCTCTCCCTCCTTCTCTCCTTTCCCTCCCACCATTTTGCACCTCCCCCCACCCCCAGGGTATTGAAGATTATGTGACAGGGCCTTTGCAGGTAGCTACATTCCAAGGCGCTTTTTTTTTTTTTTTTAACGGAACCATGTTTTATTTCCTGTTCAGGCAGAGTTTGAACTTGTGATCCTCTGCCTTAGCTTCCCAGAGAGCTGAAATTATAGGTATGCACCATCCAAGGGCAGCATTGAAAGTTTGTTGTGTTTTTTTTTTGTTGTTGTTGTTTTTTTGCAGAACTGGGGATTGAACTCAGATCCTTGAGTTTGCCTGTCAAGCAATCACTTATCCTACTGAGCCATCTCCCCGGCCTGAAAGTTTTTAAGAGTATTCTAATACCAGAATGGAGCTTAGAGGAAGATAAAATTATTTATGGTTTATTCTCTCTCTCTCTCTCTTTCTTTTTTTCTTTCAGCTGCGGCTAATAGACTGGGGTCTGGCTGAGTTTTATCATCCTGGTCAAGAATATAATGTCCGAGTTGCTTCTCGATACTTCAAAGGCCCTGAGCTACTTGTAGACTATCAGGTAAAAAGAGAAGGGCAAATACGGTTTCAGTCCTATGACTTGCAAAAATGTCACCATGCTTTTGAGCAAGCCATTTACATGCATTCATTGCTATTCCTTATATGTGAAATGTAATATATAGATCACTTCATCCAGCATAGTTTGCATTGCATTATGTCAGTAGAATATAAGTCAATTTGCATTTGATCCCTAAAGAAAAAGTACACCCAAAATACTTTTTCTACTCAGAAATTACAGAACTGTTTAAATTTCAAGATAGCCTTAACCAATTTTTAAGAATAAAACCAAAATTGTTCCCTTATATATCTACTAAATTATGCCCTAAATATAAAAAGACTCCTCCCAGCAACAACAAAAAAATTTAATTACTGATACTTTCTCCAAGTATCAGTAATTTTTAAAAATTATTAATACATAATTTTTAAAAATTTAAAATGTCTGCCAACCAGGCAGGGCTACATATTGAGTTTAAGGCCAGCCTGAGCTACACAATAAGGACTTGTCTCAAAAAAGAGTCCACTAGGTGAGGTGATGCACATCTGTAATCGTAAGTACTCGAGAAGGCTAAAGCAGGAGAATTGCTGTGTGTTTGAGGCCAGCCTGGACTACATAGAGTACAAGGCTATTCTGAACTACAAGGTAAATCCCTGCCTCAAAAAAAAAGAAAAAAGAAAAAAACAGTCAAGCAAAATTGTTTTGCTCTGTCCTAAAAATTCCATTTCTGGGGCCTAAAGAATGTAACCCTAATTCTAAAAACATAATTTGCACTTAAAACTATTCCTTACAGCGTTATTTTAAAATAGTGACAAAAACAGCCTTAATTTAGGGAAATTTAAAATTAAATTTGACATTTTAAAAATTGTGATACCTACTAAAAGATTTTCACAAGCTAATAGTTTGGGAATTTTCTTGTGTAAATTTAAAAAAAAAAAAAAGCTCAGCACAGTATGTGTAGGTTGGTTTGAAAATGGATGGAAGAGGGCCGGCCAGATAGCTCAGCAGACTTAAGCATCTGCTTCAGCAGAGTACAGCGGCTAGGGTTTGATCCCTGCCCTGCTGTGGTGTCATGCGCCTGTAATCCCAGTGTTTGGGAGGCTAAAAACAGGAGGATCATACAAGTCCAGTCTACATAGTGAGACCCTATAGACCCTGTCCTAAACTCATAAAAATAAATGAATAATAGAATAAAATAAAATGGATGGAAGATGGGCTGGGAAGTTAGCTCAGTAGAATAAGTACTAGCCTGGCAAGCGAAAGGTCCTGGAGTTTGATTCCTGATACCACCAAATAAATGGATGGATAAATGGATGGATGGATGGATGGATGGATGGATGGATGGATGGATGGATGGATGGGTGGATGGGTGGATGGGTGGATGGGTGGATGGGTGGATGGGTGGATGGGTGGACGGACAGACGGACAGACGGACGGACAGAAGACCATAAACAACTACATGGAATGGCCAGCAAAATAGCTTAGCAGACTAAACACCTGCATAGGAAAGCGCAGGGACTGGGGTTCAGTCCCTGGCACCACATGCTATGCTGGCCCTGCCCCTTTGCATACTGAACCAGCCACTAAGACCAGTTGTGGTGGCATAGACTTGTAATCCCAGTTCTGGGGAGGCTGAAAACAGGAGGATCATTACAAGTCCAATCTACATAGTGAGACCCTGTACCAAATACATTTTTTTTAAAAAAAAAAGAACTACATGGAGTTATTGATATTTTGGCTGGCTAACTTGCCTTATTTTTATTTAAATTTTTGTGTGTATGTGTGTAAGTTGTTTTGAGACATGGTCTCACTGTGGCTGACCTGGAACTCACTGTGTAGCCCAGACTGGCCTTGAACTCACAGCAATCTTCCTGCCTCAGGCTCCTGAGTCCTGGGGCTACTGGCATGTGGTACCTGGCTGTGGTTTTGGGAGCGGGTGTTTGGTTTGAGATAGGGTTGCACTATATAGTTCAGGCTAGCCTTGTACTCATTGTGTTGTCCTGACTGACCTCATGCTTGTAGCAGTCTTTTTGCCTCAACCTTTCCTAAGTGCTGGGATTATAGGTGTGCACTCCCACTCCTGGCTTTCAAGTTGTTATCCTCCTGTTTCATCTTCTCAGAGTGCTTGGATAACAAGAATATGCCACTGTGCCCAGCAAAAAGTTGTTATTTTGGAGGGACAAACCTGGAGATTCATAAATGATAACTGTGCATTTCCTTTAATGTAGATGTATGATTATAGTTTGGATATGTGGAGTTTGGGTTGTATGCTGGCAAGTATGATCTTCCGGAAGGAGCCATTTTTCCATGGACATGACAATTATGATCAG